AGGAGTGAGACTTCAACTCAAAAAAAAAAAAGAGTACATGCCAGGCCCCGCCTGGTCCCTTTTCTCACCTCCTGCCAGAAGAGGAGGCCTTCCCCATCCCTCTGAAACATGCTTTGGGTGGGTCCCCACCCTGGCCTCTGCTCATCTTCCTGCCCACCATTCTTACTGGTTCCCTCTCAACATAAAAACTGCTCAGCACTAGCCCTCAAATCCATGTCCCTCTAGAAAATGCTTTTCCTGCCAGACGTGGTGGCTCATGCACTTTGGGAGGCGGAAGTGAGAGGATTGCCTGAGTCCAGGGGTTCAAGACCAGCCTGAGCAACTTGACGAGACCTCGTATCCACAATAAATCAAAAAATTAGCTGGGTGTAGTGGTATATACCTGTAGGTCCAGCTACTTGGAAGGCTGAGGCAGAAAAGATCACCTGAGCCCAGTAGGTTGCCACTGCCCTCCAGCCTGGGCAACACTGTGAGACTCCTACTCAAAAAAAAAGAAAATGCTTTTCCTGTCCTTCCCTCCCTCTCCCCCAGCTCTGTACAATAATCTCAGAATAACAATTTGCCAGGCCGGGCTCCTCCTCCCCTTCCTTTTCAGCCCACCACTGCATGGCTTATACCCCCACCACTCCAGGAACCTGCTTGGGATTAGGGCACCCATGACACCTAGCCGCCAACAAACACATCTCTATTTCTGTTTCCTCTGACATCTCCCTTCTCCCTCCTCCAGTGCCCTAAGTATTTCCGGGGATCTGTTTCCACCTGTCTTTTCTCTCATAGTCTCACCCACAGGCCTTTCAGAGCCCTAGCTGCTGTTTCATCAGTATCCGGAATCTAACAACCTCTCACCACTTCCTCAGCTTCCACCCTGCCCAAGCCACCATCCCCTCTTGCCTGGAGACCTAACTGGTCTCCCTGCTGCCACATCTACTCCCCCTACAGACTAGTCCCCACCCAGCTGTTCACACCAAGCCGGATCATGTCACTCCTCTGTGTAGAACCTTCCAATGGCTTCCCATTAAGTCTTAAAATGCCCCACAAGGCCCTGCGTGATGGTTTCCCACCCCTCACCTCTCTAACCTCCTGTACTATAACACCACCTACCATCACTCATTCCCCTCTAGCCACACTAGTCTCTGTGGGGTTCCATAAATACACTAAGCACATAACTGCCTCAGGGCCTTTGCACTTGCCTAGAATTATCTTCCCTCAGTCGCATAGCTCACTTCCTCAGTCACTTACCAGAGGAGGCTTCCCTGACCACGCTAACTAAAACACTACCCCACCCTGTATTCTCTCTCCCCCTTGGCATTTAACATCATCTGACACGTAATAAATGTGTTCATCTATTGTCTGTCTCTCCTTCCCCTCTCCCTAAACACACACTGCAGTGTAAGCTCCATAAAGACAAGGACTTCATTCACCACTGAATTCCTGATGCCTAAATTAATCTCTAGCACATGGTAGGTGCTCAGCAAAGTTAAGTCGGGTCACTCTGTTGCCCAAGTTAGAGTGCAGTGGCACTATCATAGCTCACTGCAGCCTCAACCTCCTGGGCTTGGGCGATCCTTCTACCTCAGCCTCCTGAGTAACTGGGACTACAGATGTATGCCGCCATGCCCTACTAATTTTTTTATTTTTGTAGAGACGAAGTCTCACTATGTTGTTCAGGCTGGTCTCGAACTTCTGGGCTCAAGTAATCGTCTTGTTTGAGCTTCCCAAAGTGCTGGGGTTAAAGGTGTGAGCCACCGTGCCCGGCCAACAAATATTTACAGAATAAAATGAAATGAATGCCAAATCTCTATCTCCAGTTCAACTTTTTCTCCTGGACTCGGGATCTGTACTTGAGTGTGCCTTCCTAACACTTCGGCCCTAGGCACCTCACACCACATTCACTGTGTCTTCCCCAGTTCTGCTCCCTGAGTTCTCTCCTAGTGAGGGGAGCCAGCACTTGTGCAACTGCCTAAGCTGGAAGAAGGGGTGGGCCTTGACCTCCTCATGACCACCACCCTCCATCAGTCGGTCACAAGTCCTGCCAGTTCTACCACCTAAATCTTTCCAATTCATTCTCCCTCCCACCCAC